GACACATTCGTCTCGGATAGCAAAAATTTTGTGTCTTTGACTAATACGTCCCTATTTCCCCTTCCCCTCAGCACCTCAGAATGGCATCCACCATTCCAATCTCTGCTTCTGTGACTTTGGCTAGTTTAGATTCATCATGTAAATGATAGTATTCATTCCTCCGTGCCTGGCTCTTTAACTTTGTCACGTCCTCCAGGTTCATCTACCGTGTTGCAGATGGCAGGAACTCCCTGTTTTTTTTTTTTTGTTTGTTTTTAGACGGAGTCTCACTCAGTTGCTCCGGCTGGAGTGCAGTGTCACGATCTCAGTTCACTGCAACCTCTGCCTTCCAGGTTCAAGTGATTCTCCTGCCTCAGCCTCCCAAGTAGCTGGGACTATAGGTGCCCACCACCATGCCCAGCTAATTTTTGTATTTTTGGCAAAGACAGAGTTTCACCATACTGGCCAGGCTGGTCTCAAACTCTTGACCTTGTGATCTGGCCGCCTCAACCTCCTAAAGTGCTGGGATTACAGGCGTGAGCCACCGCATCTGGCCAGGAACTCCCTCTTTTTTTGAAGCTGAATAATATTCCATTGTGGACAGGTGTGGTGACTCACGCCTGTAATCCCAACACTTTGGGAGGCCGAGGTGGGTGGATCACCTGAGGTCAGGAGTTTGAGACCAGCCTGACCAACATGGAGGAACCCCATCTGGGCAGGGAGGCACACACCTGTAATCCCAGCTACTTGGGAGGCTGAGGCTGGAGAATCATTTAAACCCAGGGGGCGGAGGTTGCGGTGAGCCGAGATCGCACCACTGCACTCCAGCCTGGGCAACAAGAGTGAAACTCTGTCTCAAAAAATGTCATTGTATGCAGGTACCCAATTTCCTTTTCCCACACATCTGTTAACGGACATTTGGATTGCTTTAAAGTTTGGGTATTGTGAATAACGCTACAGTGAACGTGAGTGCAGATATTTCTTCCAGATAGCGGATTTCAACTCCATTTGGATATATCCAGAAGTGGGGCTGTTGGATCATATTGGTAGTTCCATTTTAATTTTTTGAGGATAGTTCCATACTGTTTTCCATGGTGGCTGCACCAATTTACATTCCCACCAACAGTGCACAAGGGTTCCTTTTTGTCCACATTCCCACGACGCTTGTTATCTCTCTTGGTCTTTTGATAATCAGCATCCTAACAAGTACAAGGTAATGTCTAACTGTGGTTTTCATCTGCATTGTTCTGAGGATTAGTGATATCCCGCACCTTTTCACTGGCTACTTGTACTGGCTATCGGCCATTTGGATGTTGTCACTTGAAAACTGTCTACTCAGGTCCTTTGCCCATCATTTGAGCTTTTTGGGTTTTTGCTCAAGTTGCAGGAGTTTTTTTTTTTTTTTGGAGATGGAGCCTTGCTTTGTTGCCCAGGCTGCAGTGCAGTGACACAATTCTCCCATCTCAGCCTTTGAGTAGCAGGGATTACAGGCACCCACCATCATGTCCTGCTAGTTTTTGTATTTTTAGTAGAGGTGGGGTTTCACCATGTTGGCCAGGCTGGTCTTGAACTCCTGACCTCAGGTGATCTGCCCTCCTCAGCTTCCCAATGTGCTGGGATTACAGGTGTGAGCCACCTCGTCCAGCTAGGAGTTTGTTTGCCACCCCTCTCTCCCCACCCCTGCTGAGACAGAGTCCTACTCTGTCACCCAGGCTGAAGTGCAGTGGCATGATCTTGGCTCACTGCAACCTTCACCTCCTGGGTTCAAGTGATTCTCCTGCCTCAGCCTCCCACATAGTTGGGATTACGGGCATGCGCCGCCACACGCGGCTAAATTTGTATTTTTAGTAGAGATGGGGTTCCACCATGTTGGCCAGGATGGTCTGGAACTCCTGCCCTTGTGATCTGCCAGCCTTGGCCTTCCAAAGTGCTGGGATTACAGACATGAGCCACTGCACCCAGCCACACACTGTTTTATTTTAAAATTTTTAATCGTTGATTTGTTTGAATGAACATCCATACAATCCACTTTTGGTTTGCTGCATCTCTTTTAGTCCACACGTTCCCCTTTCCTCTTTTTTCCTTGCCATATATGTAATGAAGAAACCGGGTCATTTATCTTACACAGCTTCCCACGTTCTGCATTTTCCTTGTTGCATCCACATGGTGTTATTCAACATGTTTTTTCATTTCCCATGTAAAGTGCTAGCTAGAGCTAGATTATTGATTTGATTCAGGTTCAATCCTTTTTTTTTTCTTGAGATGGAGTCTCGCTCTGTCACCCAGGCTGGAGTGCAGTGGTGCAATCTCAGTTCACTGCAACCTCCACCTCCTGGGTTCAAGCAATTCTCCCGCCTCAGCCTTCTGAGTAACTGGGGCTACAGGTGCATGCCACCCCTCCTGTCCTCAACGTCTCTTTATCACAGGTGATGTTGTATATGTCTTCCTGTTGCATCTCATTAGGAGCCAATGCAATCTGCCTGCCTCTATTTCCATGGCATTACAATTTTTCAGTGGGTTCACGTGTTATCAGCGATATCCCTCTCCTAGCAAAGTTCGCCATCAGCCTTTCACCTAATCGTTTATCAGCCACTGATGATTGTTGCCTGGATCCATTATTTTTTAGAAGGTACAAAACAGTGATAATTGAATTCCATCCTTTTTTCTGCATATATTAGCTTTATTATTCACAAATGATTTTCTTTCATCAACTGGCTACCCTGATGTACAGACAATCTGTACAAAAAAGTCAAGATATTTACTAGTTTTCAGAATGGGTTTGTTTCTTACCATTCACCAGAGGTGATCAGCGAGGTCATTTTAGAATTACTGTAAGTATATGGATTTTAACAGCTTTAATGTGTTTCAATTCTTTGCAGTCATTTGCCATTTTGGTGTTCACATTGTCCCATCTTTGGCCAGTGGGAGCCTTTTCAATTTTAATTTTTTTTTTTTTTTTTGAGACAGAGTCTCACTCTGCCACCCAGACTGGAGTGCAGTGGCCCGATCTTGGCTCACTGCAACCTCTGCCTCCTGGGTTCAAGCAATTCTCGTGCCTCAGCCTCCTGAGTAGCTGGGACTACAGGCGCGCACTACCGTACCTGGCTAATTTTTGTATTCTAGTAGAGATGGGGTTTCACCATGTTGGCCAGACTGCTTTCAAACTCCTGGCCTCACGTGATCCTCCTCCCTCGGCATCCCAAAGTGCTGGTATTACAGGGATGAGCTACCACACCCGGCCCTTAATTTTAATTTTGTAACCTTTCATTGCAACCTCACAGGTCTTTGAGATTGCCCATACTATACAGGCTACAAAAAGATGCCCCAGGCTCAGTTTGTACATTTCCTGTCCCCGAGCCAGAATCAGCCATTTACCTAAGGTGCCTGGATTTGTTTATATTCATTTATTATATATGTATAATACATATGTTGTACGATAATATCATATCTCTATTTCCAGTTCAAAATTAGGATTATAGGCTGGACACGGTGGCTCACGCCTGTAATCCCAGCACTTTGGGAGGCCAAGGCAGGTGGATCACGAAGTCAAGAGATCGAGACCAACCAGGCCAACATGGTGAAACCCGTTTCTACTAAATACAAAAAATTAGCCTGGCGCGGTTGTGCCTTACTGTAGTCTCAGCTCTGTGGGAGGCTGAGGCAGGGGAATCACTTGAAGCTGGGAGGCGGAGATTGCAGTGAGCCAAGATTGTGCGACTGCACTCCAGCGTGGGCGACAGAGCAAGACTCTGTCTCAAAAAAAAAATTAGGATGATAAATTTTTTACATAGTAAATTTGATTTTATATTTATGTTTTTCCTTAATGATGAAAATCTGGGTTCCTAACAGCATTAACAGAATTACTTTATTCTATATATGTACTAATACACAAATAATGATACCAATATTACTAACAACAACATTAGCAAGGATAGTTTAGGATTTCTGTTTATCCCACAAGGAATGTATAATTAAATTACCATGTCTTAAAGTTATTTGAAAAAAAAGTCTGTGTGGTTAAGCTGCTGACTTGATACCCATCTTTCCTTGTCTTAGTTTTCTTTTGGCTTTTAGAGTTCAGAATCCTTTTTGGGGTTAAATGCAAAAAGATGAGGTAAAAAGAAGCAGCCAGGTGTGGTGGCTCGCACCTGTAATCCCAGCACTTTGAGATGCTGAGGCTGGCGGATCAGAAGTTCAGGAGATTAAGACCATCTTGGCTAACTCGGTGAAACCCTGTCTCTACTAAAAATACAAAAACTTAGCTGGGCATGGTGGCAAGTGCCTGTTGTCCCAGATATTCGGGAGGCTGAGGCAGGAGAATCGCTTGAACCCAGGAGGCGGAGATCGCGCCACTGCACTCCAGCCTGGGTGACAAAGCAAGACTCCGTCTCCAAAAATAAATAAAATTAAAAAAGCACTTCCTGGGTTTCTGTCAGAATTAAATGACAATGACATGCACAAAAGCACACTGGAAACAGGATCTGGGAGAGTGTAAAGCGCTGCTACTGCGACTGCTTTCCTGTAGCAAAGCCATGTTCCCTCCCACTCAGAGGATGCTATTGGTTAAATTGCCACGACCTGCGTCTGGCCCCAGACTCGGGGTTAGTTACTGTCCCCAGAGTCCTGATTGTCTAATTTGGCCTTTTAATTTAGCTTGATTATCTAATTTAGCAATTTAGTCTCTCTATTTCTCAGGTTCCTTACATGCCACACAGTGATAAATGATAATACCTCACAGATCCTCTGTGAAGATTAGAGGGGATAATTCATGCATGTAAAGTGCTCAGGACAATGATTAGTGACAAATACATCCCTTATATACGGTAACAATAGTAACGGCTTCCATTTATCAAGCACATCAGTTCATGCCAGGTATGGGGTACATGCTTTCTGTGAACTAACCCATTTAATAATCATGACAACCTTGAAAGTTTGGTGCCATTATTAGATCATCCCCATTTTAGAAAACTCATTTGAGAATACTGAGGTGTGAAAACGGCAAATTTCTCAAAGCCACATACCTAAAAACTAGTAGGAAGGCTGGGTGCAGTGGCTTCTGCCTATAATCCCAGCACTTTTGGAGGCTGAGGTGGGCAGATCAACTGAGGTCAGGAGTTCAAGACCAGCCTGGAGAACATGGTGAAACCCCATCTCTACCAAAAAAAATAAGAAAATTAGCAGGGCATGGTGACACGTGCCTGCAATCCCAGCTACTTGAGAGGCTGAGGCACGAGAATCAGTTGAACCCAGGAGGCAGAGATTGTAGTGAGCTGAGATTGCAGCCACTGCACCCTAGCCTGGGTGATAGAGCAAGACTCCATCTCAATCAATCAATCAATCAATACAAAATAGTACGGAAAAAAAGCAATGAGTTGCTTGGCTCCAGAGGCCAGGTGTGAAAGAGGATAAAAATACATACCTCATTTGATTTTTGTGAGGGCTTCAGGAAATCGTGTGTGTGTGTAGTGTGCCTGGCATTCACTAAGTAGCCAATAACCATTACATTTCTTTCCTTCTTCCCTCCCTTGCTTCCACCAGGTAAGCTGTTTGGGGTACTTGAGCTATTGAGAAGATGGCAACTAAGCCAACAGAGCCCGTCACGATCCTCAGCCTTCGGAAGTTGAGCCTGGGGACCACAGAGACACAGATTAAAGGTGAGATTATCATAGAAGTCTCCTGCTCAACCTGCTGCTTCACTTCCTACCACTGGCCCCTCATATTAACTTGTTTTTATAATAATGGGTGGGTAGCTTGGCTCGGTGGCTCACGCCTGTAATCCCAGCACTTTGGGAGGCCAAGGCAGGTGGATCATGAGGTCTGGAGTTCAAGACCAGTCTGGCCAAGATGGTGAAATCCCGTCTCTACTAAAAATACAAAAATTAGCCAGGCGTGGTGGCGGGTGCCCAGCTACTCAGGAGGCTGAGGTAGAGAACTGCTTGAACCTGGGAGGCAGAGGTTGCAGTGAGCCAAGATTGCACCACTGCACTCCAGCCTGGGTGACAGAGCAAGACTCAGTCTCAAAATAATAATAATAATGGGTTGGCTTTCTGAAGCTGAGCGATAGTCCCCACGCATTCCCTTCCCTGCAGAAGCTATTTCTTCCACTTGCCTCTCGTTGTTAGAGCCAAAGATGTTCACCGTGGAAGATGCAGTGGAGACCATCGGCTTTGGACGTTTCCACATTGCTCTCTTTCTGATCATGGGCAGCACTGGGGTGAGTGCTCCTTGCAGATGTGGACAAAAAGAGTCAAACTCTGTAAAATAGTTGAAGAGATTTATTCTGAGCCAAATATGAGTGATCATGGTCTGTGACAAAGCCGTCAAGAGGTCCTGAGAACATGTGCCCAAGGTGGACGGGGCACAGCTTAGGGAGGCAGGAGACATCAATCAAATACATTTAAGAAGTACAGTGGTTTGGTCCAGAAAGGTGGGAGAATTCAAATTCAAAACAGAGATGAGGGGGAAGAGGGAAACTTCCAGGCTATAGGTAAATTTAAATATTTTCTGGTTGACAATTGGTTGAGTTTGTCCAAAGACCTGGGATCAATAGAAAGGAAATGTTTGGGTTGAGATAAAAGATTGTGGCTGCATGTAGTGGCTCACGCCTGTAATCCCTGCACTTTGGGAGGCCAAGGTGGGTGGATCACCTGATGCCAGGAGTTCGAGACCAGCCTGGCCAATGTGATAAAACCCTGTTTTGTTTTGTTTTGTTTTGTTTTGTTTTGTTTTGTTTTGTTTTGTTTTGTTTTGTTTTGTTTTGTGAGACTGAGTCTCACTCTTGTCACCCAGGCTGGAGTGCAATGGCATGATCTCGGCTCACTGCAACCTCCGTCTCCCGGGTTCAAGCAATTCTCCTGCCCCAGCCTCCGGAGCAGCTGGGATTACAGGTGCCCGCCTGTATTTTTTTTGTATTTTTAGTAGAGATGGGTTTTCACCAGGTTGGCCAGGCTGGTCTCAAACTCCTGACATTGTGATCCACCCATCTTGGCCTCCCAAAGTGCTGGGATTACAGGTGTGAGCCACCGCACCCAGCTGAAACCGTGCCTTTACTAAAAATACAAAAAATAGCTGGGCATGGTGGTGGGCACCTGTAATTCCAGCTACTCAGGAGGCTGAAGCAGGAGAATTGCTTGAACCCAGGAGGCGGAGGTTGCAGTCAGCTGAGATTGCACCACTGCACTCCAGCCTGAATAACAGAGCGAGACTGCGTCTCAAAAAAAATATTAATAAAATAAAGATTGTGGAGACGAAGTTTCTTTTGAAGTCTCATAGTTGCTGCCCTTAGGGACAATAGATGGCAATTATTTCCTATTCAGACTTTTAAAAGGTGCTAGACTTTTAGTTAATCTCTTCAGGATTGGGAGGGCCTGGAAGAAAATGATCTAGCTATGTTAATAAAGATTCTTTACAGATGCAAATTTTCCCCATCAAAAACAGCTTTGCAGGGCCATTTCAAAATATGGCAAAGACTGAACCCAGGAGGCGGAGGTTGCGGTGAGCCGAGATCGCGCCATTGCACTCCAGCCTGGGCAACAAGAGCGAAACTCCGTCTCAAAATATGGCAAAGAAATACGTCTTGGAGTAAAATATTTGACTTATTTCTTTTTCACATAATGTTATGCCAGAGTCAGATCAGAAAGTAAGTCACGATATTTAGGGTTAATAAAACCCATCTGATGAGAATGTATGGGTTGTAGGGCATGACTCCCCGGACCCCTTAGACAGGAATTTGAGCAAGATAAAAACAATCAGAGCTGTCCTCAGAGATCACGTGAGCCTTCAAAGCTAACAAGGTTGAACGCAGAGTCTCTCTTCTGCTGACCTCTGGCTCTGGGCTCTCCAGTCCCGGGGTGTGGGAGAAGGGTGGGTGGAGATGAGAAAAAACAGGAACCCCAACAGGTGGGTCACCCAAAAATCACTTTCATTCACCTGTGGCGGGTGTTCGGTTATAAGCAAGTGAGCATTTGTATCTATGTTTTGGGAATTCAATACTCATTTTTAAAAGTGATGTAAATGGAGGTACTGGGAAGAAAGGAGAAAACTGGTATTATTTTATGTAAAATCGAACAAATGGCTCTCAAACATTTTGTGCCGAAGAATTACCAGAGACACCTGCTGTAATTACATATTTTCAGATCCTTTCAGAGGCACTGACGAAGGTTTGTTATTTACTGCTAGGGTTTGAATGTGTCCCTTCCAAAACCCAGGTGATGTCAATGAGATTGTGTTAAGAGGCGGGGCCTTTAAGAGGTGATGAGACCACGAGGACTCCTCCCTCGTGAATGGGATTAAGGCCCTTATAAAAGAGGCTTGGCGCAGCAGCAGCGTCAGCTTCTTTGCGTTTCTCTCCTGCGATCACAGTCGTTCCTCCGCTGCGGAGGGAGCATCCCTCTCCGGACAGCGGAGCCTGCTAGCCCTTTGATCTCAGCTCCCAGCCTGCAGAACTGTGAGAAAATAAACTTAGATTCCTTATAAATTGCCCTGTCTCGGGCATTTTGTGATAGCAGCACAAATGGACTAAGACATACGCCATATGCAATTTTGAGGAAAGAAGAATGACAGCTTCACTCAGAGGCTTTCACAGCAGTGGTGATGTCTGTGAGCCCACACCACTACTCCCGCTTCCTCCTTTGGGAGGTAAGGTGAGAAAACGTTAAGAACCAGGTGTAGTGGCTCATGCCTGTAATCCTAGCACTTTGGGAGGCCAAGGCGGGCAGATCACCTGAGGTCAGGAGTTGGAGACCCGCCTGGCCAACGTGGTGAAACCCCTGCTCTCCTCAAAATACAAAATTCAGCCAGGTGGTGGCGCGCACCTGTAATCCCAGCTACTTGGGAGGCTGAGGCAGGAGAATTGCTTGAACCTGGGAGGCAGAGGTTGCAGTGAGCTGAGATCATGCCACTGCTCTCCAGCCTGGGCGACAGAGCAAGACGCTGTCTGGGGGTGGAGCAGAGGGAACAAAACAAAGCTTCTTGCCCAGATGCATAATGACAATCGGACAGAATGGAAAATCAAAGACGGGGGTCAGCCCAACAATGGTGTTGGACTGGAGGGTATGGAGTGTAAAAATGCAAAGGAGGGAGATGAGTGAGAAAATGCTAGAGAGCTCTGACCCTCCCAAAGCAGCTAAAAGTTACAAGAAAGGGTTGTGTGGGCCTGGCGTGGTGGTTCACGCCTGTAATCCCAGCACTTTGGGAGGCCGAGGCAGGCGGATAACCTGAAGTCGGGAGTTTGAGACCATTTGACCAACATGGGGAAACCTCATCTCTACTTAAAAAAAAAAAAAAAAAAAAATCAGCCAGGTGTGGTGGCACATGCTTGTAATCCCAGCTTCTTGGGAGGCGGAGACTGGAGAATTGCTTGAACCTGGGAGGTGAGGTTGCAGCGAGCCGAGATTGTGCCGCTATACTTCAGCCTGGGCGACAGAGCAAGACTCTGTCTCAAAAAAGAGAAAAGGTGGTGGGGGGTCATGTGATCTGAAGGTAGCCATGTGAATTTGACACATCTTTCAGAAATTGCATTCTCAGGAAATAGTCTATTTCTTTTCCTTTTTCCTTTTCTTTTTTTTTCTTTTCTTAAGATGGGGTCTACTAGCTATGTTGCCCAGGCTGGAATGCAGTAGTGCGATCTCAGCTCACGGCAACCTCCATCTCCCAGGCCCAAGCAATTCTTCCTCCTGTAGCTGGGATTACAGGTGCATGCCACCACAACCGGCTAATTTATTTTGTATTTTTAGTAGTGATAGGGTTTCACCGTGCTAGCCAGGCTGGTCTCGAACTCCTGGCCTCAAGTGATCCTCCCACTTCAGCCTCCCAAAGTGCTGGGATTACAGGCATGAACCACCTCGCCTGGCCAGTCCTGGTTGTATTTAAGACCTTCCCTGAGGTCGAGAGTGAAGCTCCTCTGTAACCCCACCCTGGCTCCCTGCCTGGTCCCTTTCCCCTAAGGCTACTATAGCAGAATGGGGCGGAGCTTTACTCCTTATTAGTTTATTTCCTTCTAGAACCCTTTAGAGGAGAGGCATCCTGATTAATATGGATCCAGCTGTTTTGTATTACTGAAGGAAGATGAGTTTACTAAATCAAACATTCTTCTGAGATTATTGGTAGTATTTTTAGACAGGGTCTTGCTCTGTCACCCAGGTTGGAGTGCAGTGATGCAAGCTCAGCTCACTGCAACCTCCGCCTCCTAGGTGCAAGTGATTGTCACCCTCCTGAGTAGGTGTGCGGTACCACGCCCTTCTAATTTTTGTATTTTTAGTAGCGATGAGGTTTTACCATGTTAGCAAGGCTGGTCTCGAACTCCTGGCCTCAAGTGATCAGCCCACCTCAGCCTTCCAAAGTGCTAAGATTACAGACATGAGCCACCAGGCCAGCCTCTTCTGAGATAATTATGTTCTCTTACTTCTGATACTTTTTGAACTATAACTTGCCAGCTGGCCATCTGAACTCTGGACACGACTATAACGCTCTCTGTGGAGAGAGAAATCACTCTAATATGTGTACTTCAAAGTCCCATACACTCGAGGTGACATAATTCCCCCTTTTTCATCTCAGACCCCCAAGTTATATAAGTGTAAACATTATTATAATAACCCATGCAGATATCCTATCAATGTTATCAACAGAACACGTCCCAAACAAATTCGTTTTCTCCCTTAATTTCCTTTTCTTCCTCCTGATAACCTTGTTCCTGTCACTGGTGTCAGTGTTCTTCCCTTCCACCAGACACAAAAGCTCTGTCGTCATTCGTGATCCTGTACCTAACTTTCATCATCTGTTTTTAATTCTTCAATTATTTTCTAGCATCTCCTTCCTTTGAGAGACAAACCTATCCTATAGCAGATTGCAAGACATGGATAGAAGATGATACTCTAACTTTGTATTGAAAGAAAGATTTAGTAGCACATGCTACACTGTTTGCTAAATAGACATTTTTGTGGGCTGAGCTCAGTGGCTTATGCCTGTAATCCCAGCACACTGGGAGGCCAAAGTGGAAGGATCACTTGAGCCTAGGAGTTTGAGACCAGACTGGGCAACATAGTGAGGTCCCGTCTTTTTTTTTTTTTTTTGTAAAAGACAGTTTCCTGCTGATGAACTCATAGTATTTTGTACTCATTGCTTTATTTTCTAGCTTTCATGAATCTTACTATCCCAGCTTCTTGAGATCAGAGACTTTCTCAAAAATCTTTTTTCAAAGATGGGGTTTCACCATGTTGGTCAGGCTGGTCTTGAACTCCCGACCTCAGGTGATTCATGCGCCTTGGCCTCCAAAGTGCTTGGATTACAGGCGTGAGTCACCATGCCCGGCCTCAAAAATCCATTTGTAAGGTACATGCCCTGTAACCGTCAGGATCATAAGTACAAAACAACAAAGTTAGAGGATGATGCTGCCGGTTAGCTGGTTTCACCCCTTAGCAGTGGGAGTGGCCTTCACACAGCTCCCTCATGGTGCTACCATGCAAATGCATTGCTCAGCAAAATCATCAGTGAATACATGTCACAAATTCTTGGGAACTCTCAAATTGTTCAAACCGTAAAGGTCACATCCATGACAGCTGAAGCTCTATAGTTCCTTATCCAACTAGCAGTGCTGTGTGGGTACACAATAGGTGCTCCCTAAGTGGGGAGGGTCGAAGCGGATAGGACTAGATAGGATGATGGACAGGCAGGTCTGGGACGAAGTGAAGACAAGCTGGCGCTTAGACATGGCATTATGTCCCTCCTCTTTAAGGTGGTTGAGGCCATGGAGATCATGCTGATAGCTGTTGTGTCTCCGGTCATCCGCTGTGAGTGGCAACTGGAGAATTGGCAGGTGGCATTAGTAACCACGGTAAGTACCTGCCTCCTGTGCTTTTGGGTTCTTGAGGGCCGGGGCTCCCTTTCCTCCATCGTGCAAGGCTGAGAGCCAAAGGGTATCTCACCCCGTGGTACGTTGGCTTCCAAAACTCAAGGGTTTGCAGGCTGAAACCCTCATTCAATGTCTTCCTAGCCTTGTTTTCTTTGTCTAGCGTGCGTAATCTTGAACTGCTTACTATCCAGATGAGAGATGCAAATCAAAAAGTGATCCCTAAGTCATGGGTTAGTCACAGGTTAAATCGGATCACTCCTTCAACTTGCTACTCCTTCAACTTTCCTCAAAGACCATGAAGAGTAGCTTTATGGGCCAGGTGCAGTGGCTCATGCTTGTAATCCCAGCACTTTGGGAGGCTGAGGCAGATGGATCACGAGATCAGGAGATGAGACCATCCTGGCTAAGATGGTGAACCCCTTTCTCTATTAAAAATATGAAAAATTAGCCAGGTGTGGTGGCACACGCCTGTAGTCTCAGTTACTCATGAGGCTGAGGCAGGAGAATTGTTTGAACCTAGGAGGCAGAGGTTGTGGTGAGCCGACATTGCGCCACTGCACTCCAGCCTGGGTGGCAGAGTGAGACTGTCTCAAAAAATGAAGAAAAAAAAAAGAATACCCTTATTGGCTGGGCACAGTGGCTCATACCTATAATCCCAGCACTTTGGGAGGCTGAGGCAGGCAGATCGCCTGAGGTCAGGGGTTTGAGACCAGCCTGACCAACTTGGTGAAACCCCATATCTACTAAAAATACAAAAATTAGCCGGGCATGGTGGTGGGCACCTGTAATCCCTGCCACTTGGGAGGCTGAGACAGGAGAATTGCTTGCACCTGGGAGACGGAGGTTGCAGTGAGGCGAGATCACACCATTGGACTCCAGCCTGGGTGATGAGTGAAACTCCATCTCAAAAAAGAAAAAAAAAATAGCTTTATAAGTTGCACATCAGGTTTTGCTAGAAAACGGAATTGAGGGCTGGGCACGGTGAGTGGCTCATGCCTATAATTGCAGCACTTTGGGAGGCTGAGCTGGGCAGATCATGAGATCAGGCGATCTAGACCGTCCTGGCTAACAAGGTGAAACCCCATCTCTACTAAAAATATACACACAAAAAAGTAGCTGGGCATGGTGGCACACACCTGTAGTCCTAAGCTACTCAGGAGGCTGAGGCAGGAGAATCGTTTGAACCCAGGAGGCAGAGGTTGCGATGAGCCGAGATCGTGCCACTGTACTCCAGCCTGGGTAACACAGCCAGACTCTGTCTCAAAAAAAAAAAAAAAAAAGAGGCCTGGCACGGTGGCTCACACCTGTAATCCCAGCACTTTGGGAGGCCAAGGTGGGCGGATCACCTGAAGTTCGGAGTTCGAGACCAGCCTGACCAATATGGTGAAACCCTGTCTCTAAAAAAAAATAAATAGGCCGGGTGCGGTGGCTCACGCCTGTAATCCAAACACTTTGGAGGACAAGGTGGGCGGATCACCTGAGGTCGGGAGTTCAAGACCAGCCTGACCAACATGGTGAAACCCCGTCTTTAATAATAAATAAATAAATAAAACAGGGGAAAAAAAGAAAAAGAAAATGGAATTGAAGATATATATCATTCTTTCAAAAGGCACTTATTAAGTTAAGTGCCAGTGGACACTGTAGGCATGAGTGCTGGGAAGACTACAAGCTTATCACATCGTCTAGCCAGAGGCAGTGATGGGAGGTGAAACTGTAGAGGTAAGCAACAAGAGCCAAAACTCCATCTCAAAGCAAGCGAACAAAAATGTGATACAAATACGTATGACAGTTTTTCAGATGACCATTTTGTGTAACAAAAATCAATATAATAGCATTACCGACTTTATGGTCATATATTTCTGATTAGATGGGTATGAAAGTATACCTTCTATCACAGAGCTTTGCAAAATCTTTATTTTTAATATTAAAAGAGGCTCCTGATGTGTAAGCATGTTGGAAGCCACACTGGAGGGTGGGAATGTAATACTGGGGTTCAGGGTGTTCTCAGCTCCCCTGAGAGGACGTTTCTCCAGGTTCTTGGTCTCCTGCCCTCTCAAGAATGAGAGAGGGGACCATGGCGTGGTGCGCAGTAAATGCCGGACTCAAAAGTGTTTGTAGAAAGTGATTTATTTAGAGAGAGAAACAGCTAACTCTCACAGGGAGTGAGAGAATCCAGGAGAGGAAAGCAGCTTCCACACTGAGTGGAAGGGAACAGAGAGATATGGAGTTTAGGAGGGAAGACAGGCTTCCACGAGAGAGTGTGGAAGGGGACCCCAGGGGGGAAATCCAGGACAGAGAAAAACAGCTTCTACCAAGGGAGTGTTCATGGGAAGGGGATCCAAACGTGGAGTCCTAAGGGGTATGGAAGAATAAGAGAACGTTTAACCTGGGAGGAACCCCCGCCTTCTCTAAGACCCCTGGCCAATGAAAGGAGTTCCTTAGAACTTTCGCTGGACTGACTTTTAGTTTCTTCCGTGCCAGCAAAATTTAAACAAACTTAAATCTCCCAGATGGAGATAGATGGGAGGTGGAGAAAATATGGCGCTGGGAAGTTCTTGCCCTAGAAACTACGCCCCGTTGTGGACCCAGTAAGAGAATACATTCCTTCAGGAGGCCATTGGAAGGCTTTAAGGAAGGATGTGGTCAGTTTTCTAGGAACTCCAAGGAGATGAAGCTGCAGGGTAGAAGGCCCGTGAGGGTATAACTGTGGTAGGGTTCATCTTTTCCAGTGCCCAGACAGAGCCAACTTATCAAGCAGGGGAACTGCAATAAAGTGTTTAATACACATAGAGCTGGCTATACCAGAGGCCAGAGTTTTATTATTACTTACATCAGCCTTCCTGAAAATTTGGAGGCAAGGGTTTTTTAAAGATCGTTTGGCCGGGCGCAGTGGCTCACGCCTGTAATCCTAGCACTTTGGGAGGCCGAGGTGTGTGGATCACCTGAGGTCAGAAGTTCAAGACCAGCCTGGTCATCATGGTGAAACCCCATCTGGAAAAAAAAAAAAAGATAGTTTGGTGGGCAGGAAGCTAGGGAATGGGTATTGCCGATTGGTTGGGAATGCACTCATAGGGGTGTAGAAAATGGATCATGTATGCTGAGCCTGCTTTTGGGGAGGGGGGCACAGGACCAGTTGAGTCAGGAAGTCATGGGTCCGGGTGGAGTCATCCTATCGTCAAAAACGCAAAAGTCTGAAAAGATGTCTCGAGGCCAATCTTAGGTTCTACAATAGTGGTATTATTTACAGGAGTCATTGGGGAAGTTGCAAATCTTGTGACTTTCAGAACAAAGGTTGTAAAGCGGCTGGTAATCTTTTAACTAAGCCTACATCTTAACAGAATTCAGGCCCCTCTCATAACCCTAACCTGGTGCCCTTTTATTACTTCTATAAAGATGTTTTAGTTTTGGAAAGAGCTATTAACATCTAAACCATAAACTAAATTTCTTCCGAAGTTAGTTTGGCCCATGCCCAGGAATGACCAAGGACAGTTTGAAAGTTAAAGGGTAAAATGATTTCATTAGGCCAGATCTCGTTCACTGTCATAATTGCTCACTGTTACAATTTTTGTAAAGATTGGCAACCAGCAGGTGAGGAAAGGTTGATTTATCTGGGTATTGAAGCTGGTGTTAAGGAAGACAGGACTTTGTAGGTGCCAAGGGAAGACTTCTCATCACCTTCCAAAGGTTCATTAAAAATCAACGGACAGAAGGTAGATTCACGGGAAACAAGGCATACAAAATTTTATTTTGATGGGGATAGCAGGGAGGAGTCACAAGAGTGATTACCAATAACAGTGCGATACAGGAACATATATAGCCTTTTTCACAGGGGAGGAGGATGGTGGGCAGATTCTTTAGAGAGGCAATAAGTCATTAGGGAGAATGGATGGACCAGGGAGGTGAGGGGTGGAATTGCAGAGGAACAAAGGTTATGCAGGTGAATCCCCCAGGTGATCTCTGGGAGCTGCCTTCAGATGACTAGGTGGAAAGTCTGGGGCAAGGTAATACCCCCAGCCCCTTCTCTTTTTTGGTGGCTGATCTTTCTTGGTAATTTGACATGATCCCTAGGGAGTGGGTTTAGGACAATTGCTTTTTTGTTTATTTGTTTTTGGAAACAGAGTCTCCCTCTGTTGCCCAGGTTAGAATGCAGTGGCGGTGGCGCAATCACAGTTTATCACAGCTTTGAACTCCTGGGCTTAAAGAATCCTCTCACCTGCCAGGCGTGGTGGCCTTTCACCTGTGATCCCAGCACTACGGGAGGCCAAGGTAGGCGGATCACCTGAGGTGGGGAGTTTGAGACCCGCCTTACCAACACAGAGAAATCCTGTCTCTATTAAAAATACAAAAATTAGTGGGGTGTGGTGGCGCATGTCTGTAATCCCAACTGCTCAGAAGGCTGAGGCAGGAGAATCGCTGGAACCTGGGAGGCGGAGGTTGCGGTGAGCTGAGATAGTGCCATTGCGCTCCAGTCTGGGCAACAAGGGCGAAACTCCATCTCAAAAAATAATAAAAATAAAAATAAATAAATAAATAATCCCCAGCCTCCTGAGTAGCTGGAATATGGGTCACCACACCTGGCTAATTTGAAGAGGCTGGTCTCTAACTCCTGGCCTCAAGGGATCCTCCTGTCTAGGCCTCTCAAAGTGCTGGAATTACAAACTGAGTCACTGCCCCTGGCCCAGTTGCATTCCTTTTGGAACAAAGTTTCCTTGACCAGATAAGGAAATTGCCAAGAGAGTCCTTCCCTGTGTGTGAGGACGAAGGAACGAGACAAGGTTAGAGGGTGTTGATTCCGCACAGCTGCCTCTATCCTGTCCGCACCTCAAAGTGCCAGTCATTGTTGTATCACTTTGTGAGCCCCAACAACTTAATAGAAAGAGGAGCCCAGGTGCTCAAATCCTCACTAGAGGGAGTGTGCAGGAGGTAGGTAGACCATGATGGGTGGAGGATAGAAGTCAGGTGGCAGAGGCCTTGAGGACAAA